ATTTTCGGTTCAGGGCTGCTTAAAATCGCGAACTTCTTTTCGTTGGCTGGTGTTAAGTGATAGCCTAATAAATACTTCACGCAACTTTGCAGCATTTATTTCAACTAATCGCTCCTAGCCACGGCAGCATCACCCAGATTGTGTTTTGCGCCTTGTAAGAACGCAGTTTTTCACACATTTAAGGTGCGCTGTGCTACTTAATAGGCCATTCACGGCAAAGTAGTGAACAGTTTGGTGTCGGACTCGATTTGATTCGGAAAGTGTGAACTCAGTTCTATCACCTAAGGTCAAAATCTGACGTATTCTTCATTTTAATGTAAAGCGGTGAAGCAAAAACGTGACCCCCTGCTGTTTAACTTGGACAACGCATGACGTCACTGCGTGACGTCATCGATCCCAACTTTACAAGAGGTTTTCCGCAAGTATGCAGCACCGAAAGGACGATAAAACCACATCTATCCCTAGCCAATGACCAGAGCGGGCGTTTCCTTCCGTTTTAACTGATTTGAGAAAAGCGAAACCCCCAAAAACGGTACTTTTTAATTTCTCCATTGTAAAGCTGCCTAGGCGCCGCGTCTTGGCAAAAGTAGCCATAGAACACAGTGTTTTTCACATGACTTTAAACAGCTGCCGCGGGAAAAGTAATGATCGTATTACAAGCCAAATTTGGATATATGATAGATATAATGTTTCTGAAGAATATTAAGATTTTTTAATGAAAATTAATCTCCTTAAGGTTCCGGGTCGGAGTTTAAATCCGACCACAGTCTAAGTAAGTGCGCAGTAAATCGCCGGAAACGTGACTTTGAATGGTATGTTTTGGCCGCGATATCCCTGAAATCGTAATATCTGTGTACATATATTTGTATTTTCTGAAAAGCCTGTTAGTTGTAGCCTTTATAGGTGGCGTAATGTTGGTGGTCCAGCGAAGACTTCCTGGTATCAGTCCGCACGGATGATTATGTGGCGTTTTCGCCTGACCGCCGGGATGGTACGTTCTATATGCGTTTTGGGTGTGTTCGGGCCATCGAAGATAGCGATAAACTTATCGCATCGATTTTGATTAAATTCAAATTTTGGAAACACTAGGTTCTGAGCTTCTTCGAGTACTAAGCCGTTACCCTGGGAAAATTGTTTTTTCCATGCAGCCATGGTTAAAAATGACGAAAA